GACATACTTGTATACATGTATATACATGCCTATCAGAAGCTGCTCTCCAAAACAGTACAGGAACAAAAGAAAAAAATAGGCATTTATATTAATAATTTTTCATTAAAATAAACTACTTACAGATCATCCTTGACTTACAATAGTTTATTTAGTGACTGTTCGAAGTTACAATGGCACTAATAAAAGTGACTTATGATTGTTTTTCACACTTACAACTGTTGCAGCATCCCATGGTCACCTGATCAAAATTCAGATGCTTCTTAACTGATTCATATTTATGGCGGTTGCAGTGTCCTGGAGTCATATGATCAACCTTTTGCAATCTTCTGACAAGCAAAATCAATGGGGAAGCCAGATTAACTTAACAACCTTGTTACTAACTTAACAACTATTCATTTACAACTATGGCAAGGTTATAAAATGGGGAAAATTCACTTAACAACTATCTTGCTTAGCAACAGAAATTTTGGGTTCAAATGTCCATACATAGAAAGGAAAAAAAAGAAGCAGAATAGAGGAATTAAGAAAAAAAGGCATCTCACTTAATAGGGGAAGAAAAGGGGGGGGGGGAACTTGATAGAGATAAGGGCAGTAGGTAGTTAAGGAAAGTTTGCTTGTCTACTGACCACACAGTGTGAATGAAAGGAACTAAAGTTGCAGATTCACTGATCAAGTGAATAGTTGCTAGGTAGCAGTTGCATTCCCTCAAGAAACACCTCTAACTTAACTAGCACTCTTAAAAAGAGAGGCAGTTCAGTGCCTATGAACTAAGAATAGAAGTATAAACAAGAATAAGGGAATTTTGTGACTCAATGGGTGAAGTCCTGGCTTCCCACTTTCATCAATTAAGCATAAAATTCAACTTAGGGCCGACTTGGGGAACCAGAATTCCAGCTCTATAAACACAGAAGTTATATTTTAGATAATTCAAATTTATTAACCAGTATGAATATAGAGAGCCAGGGGTGGGAGGAGGATGATTTTTAGCTTATTGCACAGGTTGTCAAATGTGCAAGTATCTGCTTGTTCAGTATGTATAGTATATGACTGGAACAATGAGCTCTTGGTTGTCAAGGTCCAATTAAGGCAGCTGAGTTGGGTATGTTTAGAGAGAGAGAGAGAGAGCATGTAGACAAAATCTTCCAGGATGTGACAGCTTAATCTCCTTTCCGAGATAATACTTTCTTTGCTCTCAAGGAGATCAAGGATGACATATTTTCAAGGATGAAGGTAATGTTCCTGTAGATAGACCGAATCCTTGAGTAGTAGACCCATGTATCCTTGTACAGAAAATATTCCTCAAAGGGGGGCAGAGAAGACAATTCAATCATTAGAAACATAGAAGACTAATAGACTTATATTCAGAAATGGTCAAAGTAACATATTACCATATGGAGCACCAGTCATTAAGTAAGTTGAAAGCTAAACCCTTCATTCCAGGCATCCACCTATACTTGTCCAAGTCCACTTTACTGTATTTTATGAAGAACAGTTGATATTTTTTCTTGATATGGTCAGAAAGGGAAATAAACCTAGGGAAATACACAAATTGCTCTCCATACATTGTCCTACATTAAAGGTGGTAGTCCTCTGCTCCCCCCCTCTCAAAAAAGCTACTTATGATTTGGTTTCAAAGTTACAGATGATGTTGCACCTCGCAGTGCCATGCAGAACATTTGGGAAAATTTGCCCTTATGATTAACCATAAAGATGCTGTATGCTCCACTGTGTTGTAACTCAAAGACTACCAGTACATTAAATCTAGTAACTGGAGAAGATTAGAGCTAAGGCATTGAGGCAATGCAAATTAAGTTAGCATACATTTTTGTTGACAAAGTCTAAAAGAATGCATAACTAGAAGGAAGATCCTTTTGTCCTGAAGAATCAATGTAAGCCCTGGATTAATGCCAACGAGCCTCCAAATACCATTATAGTCTCCATCTCCTGCTTTGTAATATCCCAGAAGTATATTACTGGTTACTGTAAGAAATAAGATGTGAATTAAAATGGACTTGATCTAGCCTAACAGAGCTATTCCAATGTCCTAAAACAGAGAGAAGCTTCGTATAGGCATTACAAAAGGATTACATTCATCAGGCAAGCAGCCCCTCCCATGCAGTAGTGCTGTCTGCTGCTATTTGCATCTCCACCCATTTCCTTGTTTTCAACAATATTGTCTATTCTTCTCAGTAAATGCATTTAAGTACTGTACTAACCAAGCCAACCAAGCTTTATTTATTGATCAGTTAAAGCCAGTAAAGTACTGCAATCTAGCCAGGTAATTCTTTCATGTTACTGGAGAGGATGGGCTGTTTGGGGGAAGTGGATCATTTTAAGTTTTGTTAAGGGTTCAATAAAAAAATTATCATCTTTGAATCATCAGAAAGGGTAGCATGAGGATCATATTAATACTTTGAATCATTCCATTTCCACTAACTTAAGAGGTTGAGAAAGCCTGGTAAGTATTTTTGATTCTAGCTAACTGAAAACAGAACTTGAATGGATTCAATCTCTTTTTTGGCTTACCACAGCAACAAGATCTCCAACAGTCCCTCCCTGTTGTGTTGGGAATTTGCAGCTAAACAAAGCATTCTGACAAAAGTTATGCTTCCAGAGAGACAGATAATTTTCACAAAATGCCATAAAACAAATCTTCTAAATCTTGTGGAATACCTTAACTATATGATTTAACATAAGTAAAACAAACAAACAAATGCAGTTTCTTGATAATAGAAAAATCCATTAAGGTCTAGTTCTCACTGCAATAGTAAATCTAAGTGAGCTACTTTACCTTCAGGCAACAGGTGGAATATTCCTTCACATAGACAATGTAATAATAAATCTCTCTCCATTTTAAAACTTAGACAGAAAAACAGGAAACACTAGGCTTGAACCTGATAGCTGTGGTTTTAAATTGTAGAAATTTTAATATGGCAATTATGCTCAGAAATGCTGCAAATATTAGTTAATTCAAAAGGTAAATGATTCTTATTGCTTAACAGAAATATGCTAATTAACTGTTAATATTTTCATTAATGAATCATATATTTTATGGGATGTAATTTAAAGTTACTCAGGAAACAGATTATCTGGACCCCCTCCAGTCGGGCTTCAGGCCGGGGTACAGCACGGAAACGGCATTGGTCACGTTGGTTAATGATCTCTGGAGGGCCCGGGACAGAGGTTATTCCTCTGTCCTAGTTCTTTTGGACCTCTCAGCGGCTTTTGATACTGTGGACCACAGTATCATGCTGCGGCGTTTAGGTGGGTTGGG